GTTTTGGGGAACCTCGTTGTCTAAATTTAAAAGAAAAAACAAACAAACAAAAAACAAAACAAAACAACAACCCTGAAGCGGGGATGGCGATGTCAGATCAATTCGATCAACCCTAGATTATCTTTTTTTTGGGGCGGGGGGTGGGGATGGTGGGGGGGTTGGGATGTGCTGGACGTAAGATTAACGTTGTCGTGAACTAAATAAGATGGCAGCGCACTTTAGATTGATCAATCACCACTTTAAGTAAATTTAAGAATAACATCAACCTTTGATTCATAACTTTTTAAAATAATTTTCTTTTTTATAAACCCTGCCTTCTCTTCTGCATACTTAATATACTCCCCAAACTCCATTTAGATTTGCGTCACATGACACTACACTACGTCTTGCTGTCATGGGAAACTTTCACGGTGCCCGGACTACGCCACTGTAATAAGAACTAAAACAAACAATTACACCCTATCCTGCACACCCCCCCCCCCACACACACACTTTTTGTGTGTTGGTGTAGCACTCATTATGTTTAGGACCGCCTCTGTGAAATGTGCCAGGTACACAATAAACGTCATGAGATTTATTAAAGAATGCTCTAACTCAAGCATTTGCATATATATTACACTCTACAGAGGTCCTCTAATTCTGACATATGGCCCCGTGTTTGAGATCCAAATACATGCTCTGCTGTTCAGAGTGCAAAAATAAAGATAAACTTGAAAGTACCACTGAGATTTGAGATCAAATGCATAGCCTGTTATAGGCCTATAGCTTTTGATAGCCTGTTATTATTATTATAGCCTTTTACAGCCTGTTATAGTCATAGCCTTTTATAGCCTGTCATGGCCCGGCACATAACATTTACGCCTATCCGAGTACAGGCTTAGGCCTGTACATATCTCATCTCAAGACTTGAACGAAATCTAATCCACTCCGGTCCGATCACTTTGTAATAATCTCAGCTAATAATCTCAGAACAAGTAGGCTACCAGCTGGTAGGCCTACCCGAGGGTGGAGCTCTTCAGGCAAGAGATGACTCAGAGTACAAATTCATTTGTTTCAGTGCGCGAATGTGGTTAGTGTTTTGTAGTGTTTCAGCCTGCGGAACATAATATGGAAGTCGAGTGTTTGAATTTTTTAAATCCGAGGCAGTGGCGTAGCGAGGGTGTTTGGCACCCGGGGACAAGATCCATTTTAAAGCGCCCCCTTTTCTTTTTTTCAACTCTAAAACCCATTATTTTTACCAATAATATAATATCAATTCACATTTTGGCGCCCCTAACTAGCTTGCGCCCGGGGACATCTGTCCCCCCTGCCCCCCCCCCATCGCTACGCCTCTGTTTTCAGGTATGGTAAAATTTAGGGATGTAGCCATAAAGTAAGCTTGGTGGTAGAATGATTACATTTTCTGTCAAAGCGCGGTCACCTCAGCGAACGTGTGATATTTTCAACCAATATTAGAGTATGCTAAGATCGCTCATAGAGAAACGTGACTTTAGAGAAAAAAACAACTAAAATCGCCAAAAATTATTGGTTTGTTTTTAATATTTTTTTTTTTTTTAACATTAATTTTATCTTTATTAATTTCTATTTGTGTGCATCTTACCGCCTTGTGCCCAGGAGCCTCCTTGGCGGTTGCTCAGCTTTCACGGCTCTGGCTTATGGCTCACTGAAATCAACACGGCAGTCTAAACTCGGTGCCCAGTTACAGAAAGAGACGTCAAGCTATGTAGAGGCCACCTACTGATGGATGACGGCGATGTCTTGTGTGAGAACGGGATCAAAGAGCGTAACGTTTGCCACCAGACACCATCATCTGCAGCTTACTCTAATAGTTACGCTAACAATATGGCGTCATGTGTCTCAAGACACATTCACACACACACACACACAGGTACTAACATTCCATCCCGATTACCCGGACAACCACTCGCCCATGATTCACTCACGCGTCGTCGCCATGTTTGTCACGTGACGCGATCGATCCACGGATGAGCACAAGCAACAACGAAAATCGATGGTACACACACGCAATGCTGAGTCACCTCACAGGTATGTTAGATGCACACCTGAAGGTGATGGCACACCTGATGGTGATGGCGTGCTCAAATAAACATGAGCATCTCGTCCACACCACCGCCACCCCATCTCTCCCCCCCCCCAACCACCCACCCCCAAAAGTACATAATAATAAATAAAATTTCACAAACGGGAACACTCGTCCCCACGATCTTCTACTCGTGCTTTTCTTTGTCCACGTTGTTCTGAAGGTGACCCGGCTTTTAACACCAATCCCTTACAAGAAGCTAACCTACGTCCATGTCATTATTGTAATAGAGTTGTTCTCAGTGGCGTAGGACGGGGACTGCGGCGGGAGGGGTTGGCGGTCCGCTCCGGGTAGAACTGTTTTCCTCTATGGAGGGGCGCTATTTTCGACCAATTGCTGGGTGAAGTTTGTTTTTTTTTCAGGGAAAATTGTGACAAAAAGATAGGCCCCACCCGGGCGACACCAACCTTAGCTACATGACCGGGGCGGCACCAACCTTAGCTACATGACCGGGGCGGCACCAACCTTAGCTACATGACCGGGGTGACACCAAACCTAGCTACGAGGTGGTTGCACTGATCAATAATCCTGATTGGACATTTAACCGATCTCGTTTATCGCCTCTTCCTCTTTTTTAAGTTACGTCACTTGTGCATCTTAGGATGAATTAATCTAGTTTTTTTTATAGTCATGACTCCATTTTAAAGAACCAGT